AAACCCTAAAACCCTAAGCCCTGAGGTTGAAGCTCGGCTGCAGCTGCCCATGGATCCCGATTCTGTGACAAACGACGATCTCCACACGCCTCTGAGGCTTAGTTTCCGTTAGTAATAGGGGCCTTAATAGTTAGACGAGGGTTCCTTTAAAGGGATCTTGAACTTAGTTAGCCAATAGGAGAACTTTATATCATTTTCTGGCCTCATATATTTGGTCTATCCTGAAAAGTTTGAACTTTTTTGGGCCTGGTTGTTGAAGAAGAGAGGATGGTGGCATCTGGGAATGGCCACGTTGATGTCGTCCGCCTGCTACTGGAGGCCGGTGCCCAGAAGGATGCTCTGGATTGCGACGGCACCTTGGGGGGTGAGTAGGTAACCTTTAACCTTTTGGGGCTTATATAATCCTACCATAATTGAAAAGGTTAACCTTTAACCTTTTGGGGCTTATATAATCCTACCATAAGTCAAAAGGTTAAACTCTGTTAGGCCGGGGTACTAAGCCTCTAAGGCACTACACCGCTGATATGGGCAGCACATGACGGTCAGGATTCAGTCGTGCAGGTGCTCCTCGAGGCCGGTGTCCAGAAGGATATTCGTGAAACTATCGGCTGGACAGCGCTGATGTGTGCGGCGACCAACAGCCATGCTCGAATCGTAACTTCGTAGTAGAGTTTGTAACCTTCAACGTTCTTTGGGCTATATACAACCCCTACATATTCTGAAAGGTTAGCCTTCACGGACAAGTGGTGCAAAACCCTAACCGGCCCAAAAGGACTTTATGTAGCCAACATTCTAGTATCCCTTATAGTAGCCCTAAAATCTAAACTAGTTGCCTAAGGGGCTGAGTAGGTAACTTTGAACCGCTTGGTGCTGAAATATATTCCTACTATATTTCAAAAGGTTAGCCTGTTTTGAACTAGGGTACTCGGCCCCTAAAGGAACCCTTAAAGGAGCCCTTAACGGAGTCCTAAAAGGAACCCATGGTACTCAGCCACCAAGCTCCTAATGTTGATACTGCACAAGTAAGCTAAACCCTAAACCCTCAACCCTAGAGTAGTAGTAGTAGTAGTAGTAGTAGTAGTAGTACATATCTTCACCCTCTTAGTAAGGATGCCCAAAAACCCTGAACCCCTAAACCCCTGAACCCCTATATGGGAGTTTCCGAAAATATGGAGTACCTTATTTGGGTTTAGGGTTTAGGGTTTACTGTAGAAGCCCAAAAGTTGGAAACCCCATAGCCTCCATCCTTAAGAGCAACGTATAGGGAATCCCAGCACGAGGTGTCCTTAACCCGGTTTCCAACTTTCTGGAGTTCACTGTTGGGCGGAAGCCCCCCATAACTGCACAAGCAAGGTAAACCCTAAATCCTAAACCCTAAACCCTAAACCCGAAACCCTAAATCCTAAGCCCTAAACCCTAAAACCTAAACCCTAAACCCCTGAACCCCTGTATTTGCACAAGTAAGGTAAGGCTTCTTCTCGAGGCGGGGGCCAATCGGGATCTCTGCTGCAACAACGGCACCTAGCTTTGCTTCAGTGAGCTCAGAAGGGTTTAGGGCTTTAGGGTTTTAGGGTTAAGGGGTTCAGGGGTTTGGGTTTAGGGTTTGGCGTTTGGGGTTTAGGGTTTTAAGTTTTAGGGTTTAGGGTGTTTGGGTAGGGTTTAGGGTTTAGTGTTCAGACGGTATCCGGTAGGGACCTGCTCTGGTACATTCATCATATTAGATGGGCAGTTCTCTAGATAAGTGCCCTTTCTTAGGAACCCTTTAAAAGGCGGGTCTCATAAAAGGATTCTAAAAGGGTCCCGAGTTTAGAGAAGCACCCATATTGGAGTTGCCTCTTGTCTATGATAGTCTAGCGTACCTTTTCCCCGTTGTGTGGTCTGAGGTTTGGGGTTTGGGGTTCCTTTGTTCCTTTAAGTCTAGGACAGTTTCAGGTGGGTAGTTACCGTTATAGGAGCCTTATAGAAGGTCTGTGTATATATATATATACATATATATATATATATATGTATACTTTATGGAAGCCTTATAGAAGCCCTATATACCCTAAACTCCCCACCTGTAGCTTCCTGTAAGTAAGGGCGAAGGCTTCAAGAAGGGGTTCGGGGATGAGGGTCTCCCAGTGGGCTTGTTGTCCGTTGTTGTGGCCTTAGGCTCCTCATGGAACCAGCCAAAACCCATAGAGGAGACCCTCTATTGTTCCGAATGTAGGGGCCTTAATAATTAGAGTAGGGCTTTGGAGTATATTATACTGTACTTATAATAAGGAACCCCCAAAATAGTATAGGTACTTCCTTAGGCCCCTACAGTAGGCTACTTGGCCCTAAATCCTAAACCCTAAACCCTGAACCCTAAAACCCTAAACTCTAACCCTAAACCCTAAACCCTAAACTCTAAACCCTAAGCCCTAGGCAAGACAGCGCTGATGCTGGCAGCGGACGAACAAGCGGATCCGGAAGTCCTCCGACTGCTGCAGTCGGTCGCAGAGAGTCGGTGAGCCCCTACAAAGCCGGAAAACAGTGCCGGACACTGGGTTCAGAGTCGGTGTAGAGGGTTTAGGGTTTAAGGAGTTTAGGGTTTAAGGGGTTTAGGGTTCAGAGTCGGTGTAGAGGGTTTAGGGTTTTAAGGGGTTTAGGGTTTAGAGTTTAGGGTCTTAGGGTTTAGGGTTTAGGGTTTGGGGTTTAGGGTCTTAGGGTTTAGGGTTTAGGGTTTAGGGTTTAGGGTTTGGGGATCTGAG